AATTCTTACAGGTTGAATAACATTGTCTTCAAGGTAGCGTGCGCTTTGAACTTCATTTGCTGATCTTAAATTGATGTAGTATTTTTTCCTTTTTTCTATAAAAGCCAAACATGCCAAGCAATACAGCAAAAGGAAAATAAGAGCAATCCCTTTATTCATGAAAAATGAGTTTTATATCCCTTTTTGAACACGCCATTTCAAACTAAAAATAGCAAGTTTAATTGAAAAAAAAATAAAGCCAATAATGATAAATATCTGAATTATCATGCTAAAAATGGATTCACGGGGTGTGTTTTTTGATACTAAAACAATTGGAAAAAAGACAGGAATAAAAGAAACTATGGTTAATGCAGAATCGGAAAGCTGATTAATATATGATAAAAATATAATCGGAATGGATGATATAATTATCATTAACAATGACCAAAAATGTGCTTCCTGTGCCGTTTGACTTTTTATGCCAATGATAAAATAATAGGGTGCAAAAACTGCATAACTGAAAGAAAAAAGTACCACCGAAAGAAAAAAATACTGTAGAGCATCCGAAACCGAACAACCTACCTGAATTATCATACTCGCTAAAAATAATAATATCCAAAACGCAAATTGACTTAGACCCACTAAGCCTATTCCAAGAATTTTGCCAACGGTAACGTTGCGAAACATAACCATACTAACTAAATATTCAAGTTCATGGGAATTTTTATTTTCCAAAATGGCGGCCGCAAGAATGCTTCCATAAATTGCTACTTGCGAAAACAAAATATACATAATCAAGGTTGCAATATTATCTGTCGGCTTTAGGTTGGGGGCAAAATAGTTAGTTTTGATGTAGGTTTTAGGCAATATGCTTTTATTCAATGGCAATGGATTTGAGTGACTTTGTTCTAAAGCAATTAGCCACGTCGCTTTTTCCAATACAAGTAACAAACCTTCTGGTATCTCTTTTAAGGTTGAAATCTCTAAATAAAATTTATCACCTTTAAAAAAAACCTCGATCATAGCTATTGCATCTCCGTCAAATATTTTATTTGTCAGTTTTGACTGCAAAATTTTTAGGTCTAAGTTGTTCAAATGGGTTGAATGGATTTCTATCGTAAAAGGAGTTCCACTAAACAAATCGACAATATAGTCTAAGTAACGAGATTGAGTGTGATCTAAAAAAATGAGGTGTTGCTTTTTAGGTGTGTCATGGGGATAGAGATGTAAGAAGTAAGTGAGTAAGAACCCTAATGGGAGTAATAAACTCACAAATATGAATATCTTTTCTTTGCTTCTCGTTACAAATTCATTTTTTGCAATAATTAATAAGGATAGATTATCAAATCGCTTCATCCAAAAATCTTTTTCCATTCAATAATTTCTTTTTCGGAGAGAGGTCTGTCTTTGGTATGAATTTTCTTAAACTCTGATGTCTTGTTGTTATTCAACATTGTTAGAAAATCCTCGGACTTTAAGTATTCAATTCCCGATATGCGAGCGTAATCCGAAACATTTCTATCTGAACTAATAATAATTAATGATCTTTTATGGTTTTGATGTGTTTCGTCAATTAATGATTTTATTAAATTATCTGCCGATTTTCCAGATGGAGAAAATAATATGGTAATATGTCCTTCGCGGTGCGATGAACTATGTCCAGAGCCGTCATAAACAAGCGTAATTTCAGAATTTGACAACGTTTCCGACTCATTTAAGAATTTTTCTATTTGAGCCCGTTTACCTTGAAGATTCTTCGACGTGATTGTATTTTTTAAAGAAAAATCATTTTCCTTTGAAAAAAATTTATGTAGGAGGTTATATGCGTCAATAATAAAGTGCCTTTTCATGTAAACAAAATTTATGAGGAAACTGAATAATGTGGCAACGCACCACTTCCGTTTTGAATAGCCTGTAGCTTTTCGGATAAACCCGCTTTTGACGTTTTACTCATCTTGTCTATAAATAAAACACCGTTTAAATGATCAAATTCATGTTGAATAACACGTGCAAGAAAATCATTAAAAACCAACGTCTTTGATACAAATTTTTCATCCCTAAATTTAAGCTTTATGTTTGTTGGTCTCATAACATCCCCTTTCAAAAATGGGATACTAAGACAACCTTCCTCATAACTATTTTGATCATTTGAAACCGCCAAAATGTGTGGATTAATAACAACAAACGGAACACTATGTTTGTATTCTTCGATTGGCGAAACATCAATCACAAACATACGAATTGATTTACCAATTTGAGGTGCTGCTAATCCTACACCATGAGCATTGTGCATGGTCTCATACATATCCTCAATTAAGGGGATAAGGGTGGACATATTGTCAGCTGTTACCGGCTTCGCCTTTTTCCGAAGAACTGGACTTCCATAAAGAACTATTGGATGTATTGCCATTAAGCACATTGTAATTTAATAGGCTAAAATTACTAATCATGATGTTTTTTTTTGTAATTTTGTGCGAAAGATAAGAAACTTGATAAGTGAGAATAGCTAATCCCAATTTTTGTTTGTTATCAATTCGCTTTATTTGGTTTTTGCGCTTTGTAACTTCGTGTTTGTCAAAATACTTTCACAATTTGAGTGTTAGTTTGATTTCTTCAATTAGCAAATTTCTTTTTTTCATCAGTAATTATTAAATATATAATGTTGGACTGTGGGCTTCGGCTTCGTTTTAATAAAGAAACATCTTTAATGTGTGTTGGATTTATAATTGAAGGCTTAAAATTAGCGTTTCCCGCTGAAAATGTTCGTAGCATTCTAACCAAGTCGCAGATCACCCCTTTTCCAAAATTCACGAACGCCGGACTAAATTATCTTCTCGGTGTGTGTGAAATTAATTTGGTACATATCCCCGTCTTAGATATTAGACGTTTTTTTGGATTGAATTCCGCGTCAAATGAAAGCAGGGTTCGTCATAAGCAGATAATTATTTCTTTGACTTTTAATGGGTACAATATAGCTATTATGCCTGATAGTTTAATTTATACCCTTTTGTGCCCGGAACGTGAATCGCTAAATTCAAATAAATTGCTCGGAAATATTTATTACCGTTTGAACGGGTTTATAGAGGCATCTTTTGACCACATTGACGAAAATGTCGATGGCAGTACTTACTTTTTAATTAATCCCGTGAATTTTTTTTTTGAATTATCTCAACTTCAAAAAATCAACAGGGTTTGAACATCGCATTATGAATAGTCAAAAAATTGATAAGATGGTTGCAACAAAGGATGAGCATGCTATCCGTACTATGTTTGATTCAGCAGCGGAAAAATACGACCTTCTTAATAGCTTAATGACCCTCGGAATAGATAATTGTTGGAGAAAATTAACAATAAAAAAATTAAAGCAACACTTAAAAAATACGATTACCGATATAAACTCCCATCCACCTGTTATTTTGGATTTGGCAACGGGAACAGGAGATTTCATCATTGAAATAAAAAAAATATTTCCATCCGCAATTATTATGGGTGCCGATATATCAAGTAATATGTTAGAAATTGCAAGTTTAAAAACTACGTCTCTTTCTCATGTGCGCTTGTGTAAAGATTCAGCAAGTGAACTTTCCTTTGGAGAAAATACTTTTGATGCTATCACTATTGGTTTTGGTGTTAGAAATTTTCAAAATTTGAGACAAAGTATCCACGAGTGTTATAGAGTTCTCAAAAACAGTGGGTGCATCTTGATTTTAGAGGCTACAATGCCTCAAAATAAATTGTTCAAGCTTTTATACCAATTGTATGCAAAAAGCTTTCTCCCCATGCTTGGACGATTTTTTAGTCAAGTACCCTATGCCTACAATTATTTTACTAAATCTGTTGAGCATTTTTCACAAGGAAAGGAATTTATTGATATTCTAACTTCATGCGGATTTCGTGATGCTTCATTCCATTTTCACACGATGCAGACTGTCGCTATTTATTATGCGAAAAAATCAACCTAAATCTATAACAGGAAATAAATGAAAATAACACTAAATAAAAGGGATGATGACTTCTATTTTGAAGCCGTGGGTAGTTCCAACATCATCGTTAAATTAGATGCTTCTACAGAAATTGGCGGTAAAAACAAAGGAGCACGACCTATGGAATTATTACTTATGGGTCTTGCGGGATGCACAGCTATTGATATTGTCCTTATTCTGAAAAAGCAACGCATTTTAATCCATGATTTTGAAATTACAGTAGACGGAGAAAGAAAGTTGGGAACGCCCTCACCTTTCGAAAAAATTCATATCCATTACAAAGTAACAGCCAATATTTCCGAAGAACAATTTAACAAAGTTGTAGAACTTTCTATGATAAAGTATTGCTCTGCAACAGCTCAACTTCGACCCTCTTCGGACATCACCCACTCATGTGAAATAGTTAAACTTACTTAAAAACTTAAAATTAAAACTATGTTAAATAATGTATTTAGTGAGGCAGAGAAAAGGATGAAAAAAACTCTCGATGCTGCTTCTCAATCTCTGGCTAATATCCGTACGGGAAAGGCTTCTCCTTCTTTGATTGAATCCATAAAGGTTGATGTCTACGGACAACTTGTACCATTAAAACAAGCAGGCACAATTAGTTCAAAGGATTCACAAACGCTTGTGGTTCAGGTTTGGGATAAAGCCTTAGTTTCAACCATTGAGAAAGCGATTCGTGACGCAAATATGGGGCTTAATCCTGCTTCAGACGGGCAACTCATTCGTGTGGGTATTCCACCGCTTACCGAAGACCGACGTAAAGAATATGTCAAATTGGTAAAAAAATACGCTGAGGAAGCAAGGGTCTCACTCCGTAATATTCGGCGTGATTCTGTGCAAAGTCTTGAAAAATCACATAAAGATAAACTTATTACAGAGGACGAATTGCGAAAAGGTAAGAAAGATGCCGATCATCTTATACAAAAGATGGAAAAACAGATCGAAGATATGACAACCAAGAAAGAAACTGAAATCATGGAAATATAGCAACTATGAAATATTTAAAGGTTTCGAAGAAGTTAGACTGGTCAGTGCGCCTGACAAGATTCGAACTAGTAACCTTCTGTTTCGTAGACAGATGCTCTATCCAATTGAGCTACAGGCGCTTGGACGGTGCGTGTCGTCAAACCGTGCTTAAATAGCATCGACTCGGATAACTTCAGGTACGGCTCTCATGATGGCAATTTCAACACCGTTTTTTAGTGTTGCTGTGCTCATTGGGCAAGAACCGCAAGCGCCTATAAGTTTTAAAATCACAGATTTGTCGTGTTTAATTCCGATAACTTCCGCATCTCCTCCGTCTGATTGCAGAAAAGGACGTATTTCATCCAAAGCCGTTTGAACTTTGGTATAAATCTCATCCGTGAAAGGTAAATACACTTCATGTAATGGGGCATCTTTTTCTTCTACGTCACCTACAACTGAACCGAATTTTGTGTTGATTGATTCTGACATGGTATCTTTTTATTAAAAATTAATATTAAACATCTATCAAATTAGAAAAGCCTGAAATACTAATAATCTAATGGAACACAGGCAAATCATTTACAGTCTGCTAAGATAAACTTTATTTTCCAAATAATTAATTTCTTTTGGTTCGTTTGTAGCCATTATAACAATTGTGTGCGGAAGTACTTGATTCAGAACGCTAAACATGATATGTTTTCCTGATTCATCGAGTGCAGTACTTGGCTCGTCTAAAAAAACGAACGAAGGAGAAATAGCTAAAGCTTGCACAAAGCGAAGTCGTTGGACCATACCAGAGGAAAAAGTTGAAACAGGGCTGTGAAGATGATTTATTAAGTCGAATTTGTTAAGAAGAAAGGTAGCGTGTTCATTGTATTTAGAATTGTTTTTTGTTCGCAGCAATATGTTTTCCTTTGCGGAAAGATTTTTATAAAAATGAATGTAGGGAGATACAACTCCGATGTGCATGTGTAGTTGGTTTGAGGGGATTGTGTTTTCATTTATATTGAATGTGGTGTTTCCTGATGAGGGGCTGAGTGCAGATATAAGTATTTTGATGAGGGTTGATTTTCCAGAACCGTTCTTTCCAATGATGCCAAGAGACTGACCTGTGTAAAGTTCAAAGGAAATATTTGAAAAAATGATGTGCCGTCCGTATTTTTTTGAAAGTGAATTAGCAGCAAGTTTCATTTCTTTTCAATGTTGATTATGTGCCCCATTTTAGATTTTTTTACCGACATGTAGCGGTTGTTAATTGGATTTGGGGAAATAACAATAGGAATACGTTCAGTTACGTTAAGCCCGTAACCTTCTAATCCGACTACTTTTTTAGGGTTATTTGTAAGGAGTTTGATGTTTTTTAGCCCAAGGTCTAATAAAATTTGAGCACCTATTCCGTAGTCGCGTAGGTCGGGCTTGAAACCCAATTGGGTGTTAGCATCGACGGTGTCAAATCCTTCATCTTGGAGTTTGTAGGCTTTGAGTTTATTAATTAACCCGATACCACGTCCTTCTTGCATCATGTAAAGCAGAACGCCGTATCCTGCTTCGTTTATTATGGAAAGGGAGTTTGCAAGTTGGTCACCACAGTCGCATCTGAGAGAGTGAAAAACGTCACCTGTTGCACATTGGGAATGAACTCTGACCAGGACGCTTGGTTGCTTTGCTAAGTCTGAAAGGTTGCCTTTTATGAGTGCAAGATGATTTTTGTCGTCGATGTCGGTTTCATACCCTACTAATGAAAAATCTCCGAAGGTGGTTGGCAGTCGTGTTTCAACGGCGCGATGTATGATTTTCTCACGTCTGACTCGGTAAGCAACGAGATCCTTTATTGTGATAAGTTTGAGATTCCATTTTTTGGAAAGGGAAAAAAGTTCAGGTGTTCGTGCCATAGAGCCGTCACTGCTTAGAATTTCACATAATGCAGAAACAGGCTCACAACCAGCAAGAATTGCTAAATCAACAGAAGCCTCTGTATGCCCAACTCTGCGAAGTGTTCCACCGTCTTTTGCAATGAGAGGAAATATGTGACCCGGTTTTGCAAAATCAGATGCCTTACTTCCAGGATTTGCAATGGCTTGGATAGTTATCGCTCGGTCAGATGCTGAAATTCCTGTTGTAACGCTAGGCGACTTTGCATCTACGGATATGGTGAAGTTGGTTTCGTGAAATGAGGAATTGCTCGGTGTCATCGGCTCAAAACCTAAGGCTTTAGCACGATCGTGCGGGAGAGCAACGCAGAGAAGACCTCGCGCTTCCTTCGTAATAAAATTAACAAGCTCAGGCGTTGCTTTTTCAGCTGCGCATATAAAATCGCCTTCATTTTCTCGATCCTCGTCATCAATAACAATGACTAATTTCCCTACTCTTATATCTTCTATGGCAGACTCAATGCTATCAAAATTAAAAGAACTCATATTATTTCCGTTTTTAGATTGACGGGAAAACATTACAAATTGTTAATTTAGCACGTGCTGTTGAAATGAGAGTGATTATTTGGAATGGAATAGAGTGTTGTAGATCTTCGTACAATGGATTTACGCAGCAGACGGGCTTCAAAAGCCGGCTTAATCAGGTTTTAATTACATAAAGTCTATAATATGAAGGAGAAAAAAGAAAATAATCGAAAAGCGAGTCGTGTTACGGGTAGCAGACAACGCCCGGGTATTGTGGCAATAGTGCTTCTTGTTTTATGTGCATGTTTTCTAAGTTGCATGTATAAACAATATCCTAATAATCCCCTGGAAAAGATATTAAAATTAGATGATCCTAAAAATGTTCAGTCCGAACACGACTTTTTTGAAATGTACCAAAAGGAGTTTTTTACACCCGAAGAAATTCAACAACTAAATGAATTTGGCGGCGATTATTCAACCAATGATGTATACGAAGCAATCGGAGAAAAACGTGAAGTCGGAACTACAATCGTCTTTCAAAGAATGCATGACGTGTACTTAGACGGTTACGCGTACCTCCAAACAGGCATCAAACGAATTGTTGCTTATATAGGATATCTTGGATACGAATTTAAACGTGTTAAATTTGGCAGAAAATTAGATTTCCATCTCATGAAACGAATCCCCTATTTCAGAGACCCACAACGACTACAGATCAATGTTGAAACCGACTCAGGAAACGTTCAGAGTCTTTTTATACTCGTACCCTACATTTATGAAATTACAGGTGTCGTAGACAGTATGGAAGTAAATGCTGATGAACCCTTTCAGATAAGTGTTAACACAGATGGTATGGTGGATATTATGATTTACAATAAAAGTCCTATTGCAGGAGAGGATAGAATTAATGTCATTAGCAAAAGCGTAGATAATGCTCAAATACCCGTCGTTTTTACAAAAGAGGACATGGATGAACTTCAGACCGGTTTTGCCTATGTCAGCATAAGCGCGAGAAATCAGCTACAGTTTGAGGTATTTGGAATGTCCTCAAAAATTGTTACTATGGCTACTGAACCTATTGTTCCAATTATAATTAGAAGAAAAAATGATGATTTTTAGTTTTGACTCCGGTCCATTCGCAACAAATACATACGTACTATGGAATAATCAAAATTTAACGGCTGTTATTGTGGATGCACCACCTTATTCCGCTCAGAAAATAGAAACGTTTGTTGCTGAAAAAAAATTAACAGTTAAAATGATTCTAAATACGCACGGACATTGCGACCACGTGGCTGATAATGCCCACCTCCAACGAACTTTTAAAGCCCCTATTTTGATTCATCACGCAGACGAATGGAGAATCCAACAACCCCTTAAGGAAGCATTTCCTATTCCTTTTCATGTCGAGCCAACAAAGGCAACAACGCTCCTGAAAGAAAGAGATTTTTTAACCCTAAGCGAAAACATTGGTTTAGAAGTTTTAGAAACACCAGGACATTCAAAAGGAAGTGTCTGCTTTTTTGAAAGAAGAAAAAAACTACTCTTTTGTGGAGATGTCCTCTTTAAAGAATCTATTGGCAGATATGATTTCATAGATTCCGATTTTGACGAACTTATGAACTCCATCCAAAAGTTGCTACTCCTCGGCGACAATGTAAAGGTTTTTCCAGGACACGGAAAACCGACAACCCTTGGACATGAAAGAATGCACAACCCGTTTTTGCAAACTTTCAGAAAAAAATAAAAATTTCCACTCAATCCAATTGCTATTTGTATTCATACATCTTTCTACTATACTAATTTTCAGGCGTACTATTACCTTGTAAATTCAAGCAATAATGAACTTACCACAACGAACTTTAAGGATTTATGCAGATTTTCCATTCGTCCTATCATAGATTTATTAGTTACATAAACCAATTAAAATTTAACTTCACTTTCACTATTAAATTTTTAATCATTCAATTATGAAATTACTTTCAATAGGCATTCAACATTTTGACGAGTTGCGAGAAACAAACAGAATGTACGTTGATAAAACAGAAATGATTTATCATTTAATGAAGGAAAAAGGAGTGTACTTTCTTTCACGACCGCGCCGCTTTGGAAAATCTTTGCTACTTTCTACAATGGAAATGCTCGCTTTGGGCAGAAAAGATTTGTTTCAAGGGCTTTGGATTGAAGACAAATGGGATTGGACAAGAAAGTATCCTGTGATTAGAATTTCGTTTACACAGGTTGCTTACAAAGATTTAGGCTTAAATGCCGCTATTTTAGAAAAGCTCTTGTCTCTGTATGAGCAATTTCAATTAACTCCAAAAACAACGAAAAGTATTCATTTATTGTTTTCAGAATTACTACAATTGGTACATGCAAAACACGGCAAAATCGTTCTGCTCATTGACGAATACGACAAACCCATCATTGACTTCTTAGAAGAAAAGCACATTGAAACCGCAACAGAAAATCAAGCCATCATGAAAAACTTTTATTCATGCTTGAAAGATAATGGGCATTTCATTCACACCCTCTTGATTACAGGTATTTCAAAGTTTGCTAAAGTGTCTGTTTTTTCAGAACTCAATCATTTAGACGACTTAACGTTAGACCCCAATTATGTTAATTTATTGGGTTACACGCAAGAGGAGTTAGAAAAGTACTTTGACGAACATCTTGATTTTTATCTCACAAAACATAACAAGGAAACCAAGCAAGGGCTTTTAGATAAAATTAGATTGTGG